ACTCTAAATTATAAAATGCCGCAATATTATGGGACTGAAATGACCTATATTTTTTCAAACTGCACTCCACGACTGCTTTCGAAAACGTTTAAAAACCACTGCATGATGGCGCAAAATTTGAATGCATCTAGTCGAATTTTAATTCCGAAAAAAAAAGAAAGAAAATCACTGTTACCATGGTTTTTTCGATCATCGATTAGAATGGAAATAGTCTTCTTCAGATAAATACAGAGGAATTTCAAGTTATTTCTAAAATGTAGGAATTAAAATAGAAAATAATTCAGATTAAAATATTTTATACAAAATACCGGGTGCGTTTTGATAGTGACTCAGCCCTATAACTTTTTTATTTTTTCAGATAAAAGAAAACGAAGTTTGGTATGTTAGTATATGACACAAATTAGGATTGATTGACGTATTCACTTGTTTTTGGTCACTTCCTGTTTCACCGGAAATGACTACGACTTTTGATTTTTAAATGGCACTCTCGGTATTTTTTTACTTTATTCGATAGAAAATGACATTCTGAATAGAATGACATATATCATATGTCAACTTTTGACATTCTCGCTTAATAATAAATTGTATTTTAAAATTCAATCTAGAGTGCCATGGCTATGTTAAAAACACTAATTCTTAATCAAGGAGCGTTGGAAAAATAGGTTTGGTCGTCTAATGTTTTTAGTGTCTCTCCTGGCCAGTTAGAAAATGCCCAAATCGTTTTTTTTTCATATCTCAATTTTTTCAAATGGAGCGAGGGTGGCTCATTAGCATATTTGGAAATAGCATTTTTTACGAATAATTTGATACCAGACACTTGGTATTTCGAGTCAAATTTTCGTTACGAACCGCAAAGTATAATTTGTAATAAACCATATACGAAAATGTTAAAAGTTGACATATGATATGTCGTTCTATTCAGAATGACATTTTCTATTGAATAAAGTAAAAAAATACCGAGGGTGCCATTTAAAAATCAAAAGTTATAGTCATTTCCGGTGAAACAGGAAGTGACCGAAAACAGTTGAATACGTCAATCAATCCTAATTTATGTCATATACTAACGTACCAAATTTCGTTTTTTTAACTGAAAAAATAAAAAGTAATAGGAGTGAGCCCAGGGGTGAGCCACTTTTAAGACGCACCCGGTATACTAATATACATATAATATTATAGAAAATTGTAACTAACAAAACATTTTTTGAAAAAATTTTTTTTTTGATTTTACTTCATTAGGTAATTGTCATTAGATACTAAATTATAATTTCATATTATGCTAAGTAAGTGTCTTTGCATTGTGGGAAAATATGAAAATATTGATGAGTATGGACCCATTAATTCTGTAGATTTTTATTTCACACTTTTATAATCTATAATTAATTTTTATATTCTTATTAATAGTTAAAAAAAAATAATAATCTGTGAAATATAATCACTAAAACAGAAATAATTTCTATTGTTTAGAAAATTTTAAGTACCTTCTAAAATTATTAATTTAATGAGTTCTGTTTTTATTTATTCATAATAATATTCAGAATTCATAATAAATAGAAGACCTAATGAATAGAATAGAATATATAGTCTGTCCAACTAGTTTATTTTATTTTACAAAGAAATAAGTTGGTACGCATAGTAACTGGAACGCGCGCATAGCAGGAAATTAATATATTTAAAATTTGACTGACAAGGACAAGTGATTACTTCAAAATATTGTGAAAAAAACTGTATAAAACTGAAAAAATGTAATCGAGTTATTTTATTTAATAAAAAACGGTATGTGTTAATACAAAACAAACAAGAACAAGACGCCACATACAAAAAAAAATATAAAAAAGAACTATTTCTTACTTTCAAGCTTTATGAAACTTCCCGCATGTATGATTATATTTATCAATATAACTTATGTACAAATACAAATTTGTAATATTCCACAGGAATAAATAAAACAACATAAATAAAACAAACTATTTTATTAATAATAACATTTACCAAATTTTATACCTTAAAGGTTAATTAATTAACTTTAATCTTAATTTTTTTAAACCAGTAGGTACCTTTTGACATTATTTTTCTGCAGTACTAAAATCATTATTTACCTATCGTGTCGATATTTTACAGCTACTCCAGTTGTATGTGTTTAGTACGATTCTTGTAGCAATATACAAGATGCACTTATCTACGACGAGATGGTATACAAACTAGTATGGACCCATTAATTCTGTAGATTTTTATTTCACACTTTTATAATCTATAATTAATTTTTATATTCTTATTAATAGTTAATAAAAATATTAATAGAAATATAATCACTAAAAACAGAAATAATTTCTGTTTCAGTGATTATATCTCACAGAATTCTATGTTTGCTGTACGTCATTCTATATATTATTTTTATATGTCATTATTTTTAAGTAAAATGTATATAGACAATCTTTTTTGAAAATAGTTTTTATACTTAATTAACTTTATATTATAGGAAAATCAATTAAAGTATTATATATAATCAAAAAAACTAAAATACTTTTATAAAAATATGATTATTGTTTTATTTTATATTATATTTAAATGGGTTGTAAATCCATTGGGGCTGGTTCTGGTGTTTTATTTAGTTTAAGAAAATAAGAAGAGTAATATTTAGGTAAATTAAAAGTTAATTGAGATACTAACAAAAGAATTATTGCGGATGTTCGCCTACCTTATTTCCAAGTCAGCTCCTTGCACGTTCTTGCACTTTTCGTGGATAAAAAGTCTATTTAATTTCTTCGGATATCGCGATACAGAAAATGACCAGTTGAATCTGCGGCGGACTATATCGAAGTCACACTCGAGTCGTAGTTTCCTCGCCCGAGGCGCAATGGCGTAGCGGGCGAACATTTCTTATGAACAAAAAATTATGCGCGAAATTAAATTTATAAAATGAATAGTAATAAAATACCGAACATATACTGCCCCCCATTTTTGTTAAATGAAAATTTAACAATAATAAAAAAAATTAAAATGAGGTAAATTATGAAAATTATATGTAAAGTATTAATGAAAACGGAATGAAAATTTATAGAAAAAAATGAGAGAAAAATATATACAAAATTAAATTATATTTAATTTAAGAAATGTTATTTATTTGGTAAAGGACATAATTTGACAAGTGGCCGTACATAGAGCCCTTTGGATGTCTGTACTTCAGCAACCCGTACTATATTATCCTTTCCAGGGAATACCTTTCTCACGCGACCTATTTTCCATGTTATGGGTGGAGCGTTTTCATTTTTAATTAGAACTAAACTGCCTGGACTAAGCGACTGGCCTGGCATGAGCCATTTTGTTCGCTGTTGAAGCGTGTTTAAATATTCTCGGTGCCATCGCACCCAAAAATCTCGATGGAGGCGTAAAAGTAACTGATATCTATCAAGCCTATTTAATTTAATTTGAGATAAATCAGGATCAGGTATACAAGAAAGCGGTTCTAGCGTTAAAAAGTGACCTGGAGTGAGGACTGTGTAATCATTCGGATCAGAACTTTGCGGACAAAGCGGGCGTGAATTTAATAAAGATTCAATTTGTATTAATAAAGTATTCATTTCTTCATATGTTAAACATTGTGACCCAATTACACGGGAAAAATGTGTTTTAACAGATTTTATTCCAGCCTCGTATAAACCTCCAAAATGAGACGCGGATGGCGGGTTAAAACTCCATTTAATGTTTTCTTTACCAGCGGATTCTTGAAATATTTTTCTTAAATACTTATTAGCTCCGGAAAAGTTAGTACCATTATCTGAGATTATTTCACTGCATCTGCCTCTACGAGCTATGAATCTACGCAATGCACATAAAAAATTATCGGTAGATAAATCAGATGCCAGCTCAATATGAATGGCCTTGGTTGTAAAACATACGAAAATACATATATAACTTTTAACTAACTTAGCGTTGCGAAGTTTACTTGTCTTAATTAAAAACGGACCTCCAAAATCAATTCCTACAATAGAAAAAGGTTTAACTTGCGAAATTCTTGTAGCCGGTAGATTACCCATAAGAGGTTGAAGAGATGAGGGATTCGAGCGGAAACATGAAATACATTTAGAAAGAACATGCTTGATTGCGCGACGAGCGGATAATATCCAAAAATTTTGCGATAATAAATATTGAGTAGTTAAAAGCCCTGGATGCAAATTAGATTTATGTATATGCTCTATAATTAATTCAGTTAAACGAGAGTTGCGCGGTAGTATTAATGGATATTTCTTTTCGTAATTTAAAAGAGAATTTTTGAGTCTACCCCCAACTCTAAAAAATCCATGTTCGTCTACAAAAGCTCCTAATTTTCGAAAAGGTTTAGACATTAAAACTTTATTAGAATAATTTTCAATTTCTATATGAAAATGTGTATACTGCACATGCTTAATGAAAATTAACAAAGCATTATTTAAATCATGCGCGTTCAAATTTGAAGTATTTTTCGCTTCAGGGTTTTTTATATTATAAATAAACTTTTGAATATAAGCCATTATACGTTGTAATTTTGGAAGAGATGAATATTTCATTATTATTGTATCAAAAAAATCAATTTTATTACGCGATATCAGAGTGATTTTTCTTTCTTCCCGATTTACCTCGTCGTTTTGATTTAAATCAGGCGTAAGAGGAAAAAGATTTAGAGGCCATTGGCTTTGAGGTTTTTTAAGAAAATCGGGTCCTGTCCACCAGGTAGAACACTGGACAAAGTCAGAAGGAAAAATACCTCTGCTTGCAGGATCGGCGGCGTTATTACTCGAAGATACATGTAACCAATGTACATTGGGTAATTCTTCTTGTATTACGGCAATTCGATTAGCGACAAAGGGTTTAAAACGATGTGGCGAGGACTGAAGCCATTGTAATACAATAGTAGAATCGGTAAAACCGTAAATATTTTTGAATATAATTTTTGACGAATAAGTCTTAAGAACAAATGAAAATAAACGCGTAAGAAGTAACGCAGCGCAAAGTTCAACCCTAGGTATGGAAATGCGTTTTAGCGGAGCGACTTTTGATTTAGCACATAACAGCGATGTAGTTATATTAAATTGTGACACAAGACGCACGTAAATACAGGCGGCATAAGCGTCTTGAGAACCATCACAAAATCCGCATAATTCAATAAATTCGAAACTATTAGAAAAAAGATAACGAGGTATGCGAACTTTAAGCAAATCTGGTAACTGAGATTTATATAATTCCCAGCGTTTAATTATTTGCGGCGGAGGTACATCATCCCAATTTAATTTAAGCGACCAAAGGTTTTGAATTAATAGTTTTGAAAGTAGCGTAACAGGGGTTAAGAAACCAAGAGGGTCATATATGCGAGCGAGTTCTGATAGCATATTACGTTTAGTACAAGTTACATTAAATGACGTAACAGAATAAGAAAAACTATCTTCAGTTGGATTCCATTTAAGTCCTAAAATTTTTACAGTTAACGCAGAATCTAAATCAAAATTTATGCAATTCTTAAGTAAAAGATGTTCAGGAATAGTCTTTAAAAAATCATTATTATTGCTAGACCATTTTCTTAATTCAAATCCACCTTTTAACAATAAATTTGATAATTCATATTGAAGATTAGTAGCTTCTTGCACTGTGTTACACCCTGTACAAATATCATCCACAAAAATATTATCAGAAAGAAGAATTTTTGAAGCGTGAGGAAATAATTCCTTTTCGTCATTTGCTAATTGATTAATAGTACGTAACGCAAGAAAGGGTGATGAGTTAACTCCGAATGTTACAGTTTTAAGTACATATTCTTGTACGGGTTCCTCACTGGAAAAGCGCCAAAATATTTTTTGGAATTTATAAAATTTAGGATTTAGTTGGATCTGGCGATACATAGCTTTAATATCAGCAGTTATTGCGATAGCGTATAAGCGAAAATTTAATAAAATAGCGGAAATGTCCTTTTGTAATTTAGGTCCTTTCAGAAGACAATCATTAAGAGATATATGATTAGAATCCTTACAGGACGCGTCAAAAACTATGCGAATTGGACTTGTTACAGAGTGTGGATTAAAAACGCAATGGTGCGGTATAAAATATTCATTATTATCGATAGTCTGATCAGCTAACTCTAAATGTCCATTGTCAATATATTCTTGAATTATATTACTGTACTGAACCTTTAATTCGGGGTTTATTTTAAGTTTTTTCTCTAAAGAAAGAAATCTGCGAAGTGCGGGTAATCTTGAATTTTCGAAAAAAGGCTCGATATTATTTTTAAATGGAAGCGAAACAACATAGCGACCGGAATCTAAACGAAACGTCGTTTTTGTATAATAATCTTCACAATAAGTATCATCGTCCGAATAAAATTGTTTATTATTTATTTCTTCAAGAGCCCAAAACTTTGAAATTACATTTTCTACGTTTTCACAATTAAATTTAGTAAAAAAAGAGTTTGATAGAGAGTATGAGGACGAGCGTGAAGAAATATCTCCCATCAAAATATATCCAAATAATGTATTTATTGCATCTGGCACATTAGAATTTAGCGCGGGAATTTTACCATCAAGTAAAATTTTATTAAACACCGAAGCGTTCAGTATCATATCGACAGACTGACTAATATTAAATGAATGATCGGCAAGATTAATATTTTTTATATGTTCCCAATCTGATATATTAAAATTACATACCGGCATATTCGATGTACAGACTTGATCCAAAACAAGAGCTTCTATAATTAGCTGAGGGGACTCTGAATTTAAAGGTACAATTACGCCTTGTACAATACCACTATCACTTCGCGTTTTCATGGTACCGAGACCAAATATATCAATTATTTGTGGACGCACTGATAAACCTAATATATTTACACATTTACGAGAAATATAACAGGCTTCGCTGCCGGAATCTAATACAGCACGCATAATTTGGTAATTTCCAAAAGCATCTCTAAATCTTAAGCGAATTGTAGGCAAAAGATCGGAAAACGGCAGTGTATCGATATTTATTTCGGTTTGTTTGTTTATATCGCGTTTGACACCGAAAATACACACTGAAGGGCTAATTTCGTTTGGCGTACTAGATAAATCAGATGTAGAAGTAGGAACAGGGCCGGACTTAGAGTCGAGCGAATTTTGTGTAGCGGTAATTGGCGACGAATTCGAAAAATGAAATAAAGTGTGATGGCGGCGTTTGCAAGTACGGCATGATGATTCCGAATTACAGTTTGATGTCTTATGTATATTGCTTAGACAATTAACACAAAGTTTTCTATCTTTAGCCAAATTAAAGCGTTCGATTGGGGTTTTATTAAGTAATGTAGGACATGTATATATAGCGTGAGCGGTTGAATTACATATTGCGCAATTTTTCAAGTTATTTTTGTTAGCGGGAGAAGAAGTAAAAAATGCGTTGCTCTTATGAAAAGAAGTATTATGACGTTGCGAATTGCGTAGCGTAGAATTAATATTGCGTTGACATTTACTTTTAATATTTTGCGGGTTAGATATAGCGGAAACTGAAGAATTTAAATCTCCATTGTAAGTTATTGTTTCATATGCGGTACAACATTTTTCTACATAAGCTAGAATGTTATTAAAGTCTGGCATTTCAGAATTAGAACCAAATTGAGTTTCAAAAGAGGTAACTACTGAAGACGGTAAGCGTTTTAAAAACATGTTTGCGAGAATAAAGTTCCAAGAATCTACTGGATAGTTAAGATTTTTTAAAGCGGCGATATTTTCATTAAATGTATCTAAAAGAGTTCTTAATGCGGGGGAGTCTGATGAGTTAATACGAGTAGAATTTTCTATCTCATTCCAATGGTAAGTTGCTAGTAGTCTTTTACTTGAATAGCGAGATTTTAGAGCTTGATAAGCAGATTCAAAATTTGACGAAGTTAATGGAAATCTAGCAACCAGTTTCTTTGGATCACCCTCTAGGGAATTAATTAAATGAGAAAACTTTTCGATCGGCGATAAATGAGTATTATTATATATTATTGCATTAAATACTTCTAAAAAAGATGTAAACGATTTTAAGTCACCCGAAAAAACAGACAATTTCATTTCCGGAAGTTTCGGTCTTGGTAAATCATGCGTTATATCACGGCTCGTAGATGGACTAGCGCTCTGAGATTTTTCAAATATATTATAATAAATTGCCTTAGTAGAAAAATATTTACTTTCAAATTCTTTGCGTATTTCATCCTCAACTGCGAATTCCTCATCCGATTCAAGAAGGGAACAAATTATATTATGTTGCTTAGCAAATGCGTCACTAATTGTATCAATTGTGCGATATCTTTGAATAAATTCAGGTTGTATATTGGTATCCTTTTGAGCTTCAGAAGCAATTTGCCAAGTGTCACGAATACGATTTATTTCCGTATTTCGCAAGGTTTTGGCCTTTTTTAATTTATCTACTTCGGAACTTGAAGGCGGCATATTTATTTTAATAAGAAAATTTTTACTAAAAAAAGCGAATTAAAATATTTAAAAAACTAAATTATATTATAAATCAATATAATACTGACCTGCAAATTATAGGCAAGTACAGGTATGTGCGGAAAGGGATAAACAATGCGAAGAATGCGTATAGCGTGCAAAAAAATTAAAAGGATAAGGCGTAGTACGGCGTTGCTCAGGTACTTTAAATCAAGAACTGACCAAATTTTAAATGACCTTGTCCTTTAAAAATATATTTTATTAATAATTTTGCAAATTTATATGAAATTATAGAAATAATCTTAATTAAAAATCCGAATGTGAAGGACCAATTAATGTTTTATTTTATATTATATTTAAATGGGTTGTAAATCCATTGGGGCTGGTTCTGGTGTTTTATTTAGTTTAAGAAAATAAGAAGAGTAATATTTAGGTAAATTAAAAGTTAATTGAGATACTAACAAAAGAATTATTGCGGATGTTCGCCTACCTTATTTCCAAGTCAGCTCCTTGCACGTTCTTGCACTTTTTCGTGGATAAAAAGTCTATTTAATTTCTTCGGATATCGCGATACAGAAAATGACCAGTTGAATCTGCGGCGGACTATATCGAAGTCACACTCGGAGTCGTAGTTTCCTGCCCGAGGCGCAATGGCGTAGCGGGCGAACATTTCTTATGAACAAAAAAATTATGCGCGAAATTAAATTTATAAAATGAATAGTAATAAAATACCGAACAATTATAGAACATCATCCCATCAGAACAAAAGTTAATAAGCTCCTTTATCCCAGGATATTCAGTTACCGCTTTACAATATCGAAATATCGATTACATTAATAATAGGATACTTAAAGGTAGGGATAATGTTCAAAAGCAAACTTACAAATTATATACAGGGTGTCCCATTTTCTTGTGTTTTATGGGGTTTATCGTTGAGCTATAACGAGGCATGACATTCATTGAGAAACATATACAAGATGCCCCATTTAAAAAGAATTTATATTTAGTTGTTGTATTTTTTATATAATAAAAAAACTAGTTACCCCACTGGAACTCTACATAAAAAACTCTATGGGACTTAGTTTTCACGTTTTCGATAAGTTATAAAATATCGAGGGGGTTCAAAAAAGCAATTAATTCGCCCTATATAACTACTAATTAAGGGGATAGCGAGGGGGATAGGACAAATATGTGTGTAGCATCTTAAGTTTACAGTTGAGGGTTGGAACCTTTGGTGTTACACAGCAAAATAAAAACACTAAATCACCACAATACACCAAAACACTTTCACCAATACACCAAAACACTTTCTTTTTTAAAAGTGAAAGTGTTTTGGTGTATCTTAAGTTTCATAAAAAAGTAGTATAGTGATTTGAAAACTACATCTTTGTATCTCTACTCGTAAACGGAAAATAATGTAAAACATATTAAAATGAGATACCGTATACAGGGTGGTCGAAATTGGTCTGTTTTAACAGAGTAAACCTGTTTCTTGACCAGATAGAGCAAAACCGACATAGATGTCATGGGCTCGATTTCTGAGACACGTTTAATAAACTAGCTGTTTAGTAAACTAGCTGCGTAAACTGCCTGTTGATATTTTCACTGCCAACTGAGATACGGGGTCTTTTTAAATTTTTTACCATTTGCAAACTTGCCCATAACTTTTGTATTTTGCGGAATAATAAAATTCTTGAAAAACGGTCTTGCGGCACTTTTTTAAGCACAACCCTGTGGCGTAGTCAGTTTTTTTCTGTCTTGCTCTTTTTGTCAGAAATGATAAGAAATATAATTTTTTAGAGATGGAAATCAAGTTGGCTATGAACTAAGAAAAATGCTGGCGTTTAACCCTTTCCATCGATATAAAGTTATGTGTACTTATATTTCTAAGAATGAGAGAAATATTATTTTTTTTTTATCTTTTGTGTTGACTTAGTTGCTTAATTATTTTTTATCACTATTTAATATTCTATATTATTATTTATCTGCATAATTAAAGACTTTTGAAAAGGTAAATCAACATTCTATGTTATATTAAATTGTGATAAAAAATTATTAGGCAAATATGTCAACACAAAATCAAGGCCCGCTTCGATACAAAGATAAAAAACCTAATATTTCTTTCATTCTTAGAAATAGATACTCATAACTTTATATCGTTGGAAAAGGTTAAATGCCACCATTTTTTAAGTTCATAGCCAACCATGATGTCCATTTAAAAAATTATATTTTTTATTATTTCTGACAAAAAGAGCAAACATAGAAAAAACTGACTACGCCACTGGATTGTGCTTTAAAGTGTCTTAAGAACGTTTTTACAGAATTTTATTATTCCGCGAAATAAAAAAAGTTAAGTAATGGGCAATTTTCCCAATGGTAAAAAATTCAAAAAGACCCCGTATCTCAGTTGGCAGTAAAAATATCAACAGGCGGTTAACGTCATTAAGCGTGTCTCAGAAAACGAACCCATGACATCTATGTCGGTTTTGCTCTATCTAGTCGGGAAATAGGTATTCTCTGTTAAAACAGACAAATTTCGACCACCCTGTACAGAGCAACAATAATTATGCAATTTAAATTGGTACCGTTCTGTTAAAATTTAGAAAGACTCTAGAAATTCTTTAATTATACTGGTAAAAAAATCTTACTATCATCTACCTAATGAGTAAAAGACCCCAGATGAATTAAAAACAATAATCAGCAATTTTATTAAGAATAATACAAAGAGATATTCTTCTACCAACATAACGTAAATATATTATAATTTATATTCATTAGTATTATTTCATAATAGAACCATACGCCATATACAAATATTTTCAAAGTTAATTAATAATACCTAATAGATTTTCTTTCATCAAATATGATTATCATGCCATCGGAGGTAAAAACAATCGAAGATGAATATGACATAAACCCGATGTAGATAAATCATTTTCCAAAGCTAACTCGATTTTTCACTCATTAATATTACAATCTGATTGTTCACAAAACGAGTTTTCGGCAAGTAATTTTAGTCTGTTAGGGAATTGGGAGATTAATTGGGGATTCTAGCAATAAAAATTGTTTGTTACTTTCCTTAATCGATAAAAAATAAAATTTATACCACTTAAAACTGTATAAATGTCTATTATTTTTCCACGTATTACTGAAATTTAATGTAAACAACTTTAAGCAAAACAGGGGCATATTGAAATCGTTACCCGCATGAAACAAGCCCCACAAATGTTTTCAAAGGAAATTTAGAGCTTCCTATTCTCATTATTTCGTTCCCCTACTGCAAGGGAAAGAAAAAAAAAGCGGATAATCGATAGTCCGGGTTTATTAACTCTGGCTAGATGGATTCTCTATGATAAAAGCGGGTTTTACTTTTTAATTCCGATCTTGTGCGGTCTTTTCGAGAGAAGAAATTATTTTCCTACCTGCATCGGCCGAAGATATTGGTTTGGATATGACAATACTGCATTGTGGGATTATTCTTACCACCTGGAATTGACTTTTTTTTAAGATAGAGGTATCTTCATGGTTGAAATTCTTCTTTTCTTACAGATTTAGTATAGGAAATATTTTTTAAATGTTACTTTAAATGTAGACAATGATTCAGTAGTAAAACAAAAACAATTTTTAACTTCCATTATCTTTGTTTTATCGTTTTCAAGTGTGATCACTTGGCAACGATCAGTGATACTTCTGACCGAAACGAAAAAAATTGTCCAAAAATAAAAAAAACTCTGGGGTGGACCACCGTTATCATTTAGGGGTATAGAAAATAGATAACAACCTTACTTTCAGACCTACTGAATATACATATAAAATTTCATCAAAATCGTTTCGGAGGAGTAAGGTAGCAAAAAATTAAAATAAAAAATCAACACCTATTAAAAGTAATGGGTTGATGGTAAAAGGGTAACAATTTATGTATTTTTTATTGCCTTATTTTTTATTGCCTTGTTATTGCATTAACAATTTCTGTATTTTATTGTATTTTTAAATGCAATGTATGTATTTTTTTATTGCCAAATCATAAAAAAATAAAAATTAAAATAAAATACAAAAAATAAAAATATCACTTAGGAGTATAAAAAATCGATAACAACCTAGTCGTAGACCTACTGATTATACATAAAATTTCATCAAAATCGGTTAAGCCGTTTCGGAGGAGTAAGGTAACAAAAATTAAAAAATAAACACCTCTTAAAAAATAGGGGTTGATGATAGAAGGGTGAAAATTTTGGGTTGTATGTATTTTTTAAAGCCAAATCAAAAAAAATTAGAAGAAATAAAAAACAATAAGAAATTTTTTTTTTGGGCCACCCTTAGCACTTAGGGGTATAACAAATCGATAATAACCTAGTCTCAGGCCCACTGACTATACATATAAAACTTCATCAAAATCGGTCAAGCCGTTTCGGAGAAATAAGTTAATAAAAATTAAAAAAAATACCCTATTAAAAAGTAGGGGTTGATGGTAGAAGGGTGAAAATTTAGGGTTGTATGTATTTTTTATTGCCAAATCATAAAAAAAAATAAAATACAAAAAATTAAAAAAAGGGCCACCCTTATCACTTGGGAGTATAAAAAATCGATAACAGACTAGTCGCAGACCCACTGATTATACAAATAAAATTTTATCAAAATCGGTTAAGCCGTTTCGGAGGAGTAAGTTAACAAAAAATTAAAAAAAAACACCTCTTAAAAAATAGGGGTTGATGGTAAAAGGGTGAAAATTTAGGGTTGTATGTGTTTTTTATTGCCAAATCATAAAAAATTTAAAAAAAATACCAAACAATAAAAAACAATTTTTTTTGGGCCACCCTTAGCACTTAGGGGTATAAAAAATCGATAACAAACTAGTCTCAGACCCACTGACTATACATATAAGACTTCATCAAAATCGGTCAAGCCGTTTCGGAGAAATAAGTTAATAAAAATAAAAAAAA